CCAATAGACATATGAAAAAATACTCAGTATCACTTATTACCAGAGAAATGCAAATCAAAACTACAATGAACTATCACTTTACACCAGTCAGAATGGCCATCATCCAAAAAGTCCAAGAATGATAAATGCTGGAGAGGGAGTAGAGAAAAGGGGACCCTCCTACACTGTTGGTGGGAATGTAGGTTGGTGCAGCCATTATGGAAAATAGTATGGAGATTTCTCGAAAAACTAAAAATAGACTTACCATATGATCCAGCAGTCCCACTGCTGGGTATGTATCCAGAGGGAATCCTAAGTCAAAAAGACACATGTGTGTACCCCAATGTTCATAGCAGCACTATATATGATAGCCAAAACATGGAAGCAACCTAAATGTCCACTGGCTGATGACTAGATAAAGACGATGTGGTATATTTATACAATGGAATACTACTTTGCCATAAAAAAGAATAAAATAATGCCATTTGCAGCAACATGGATGGACCTAGAGATTGTCATTCTAAGTGAAGTAACCCAGAAAGAGAAAGAAAAATACCATATCATATCGCTCATATGTGGTATCTAAAAAAAAGGTGGGGGGAAACTATGAACCCATTTACAAAACAGAAACAGACTTGCAGGCTTAGTAAACAAGGCTTAGTTACCGAGGAAAGGGGGTGGGAGTTTGAAATTTACAAATGTTAGCCACCATATATAAAAATAGATTTAACAGAATAAAAAAAAAAAGATGTATTTATTCTAAAAAAAAAGTTAGGATTTTTTGAACCATAGTTTGTTTTTAGTGAAATTAACATTAATATTTCCTACTTAGGAGGAAGAACTAAGTATTATAAAAATAGTATGAAGCTTCTAGGTTGGTGAGATTTGGGGAAAGTAACATAATAGGGGAGCAGGAGAGCTCTGGGCCCCTTCCCACATACCTTGCCCTGTGCATCTCTTTCATCTAGCTGTTCCTGAGTTATATATAAACCAGTAATTTATTTTCCTTGCTCTCTAAAAAACACAACAAAACTCTGAAACAAACCACAGCCCTTGAGAGATTTGCTGAGTTCCAATGATATTCCTTTACCAGGTTCCAAACAAGACTTAAATGTCATCAAAGGAGTGATTTGAATAATGTTGAATCAGTTCTTGCTTGACAAATTCTCTTCACTATGATCCAAACTTGGTATATGCCCTGCTTTACAAATGAGAGCTCTTTGAACAGTTTTGATCTTCACTTCAGGATATAATACAAGAGTATTGATCTGGTAATCACCTTCTTTAGCTCAAGGTTGCTACAAGCTGGAGCTGAGCTGTCTGTGGAATGGATTCTAGAAATCATCAAGCAAGGGGTTGTTGCCCAAAGACAGACTAGTTAAAGAAATCTCCAGAACTGAAGATTCAAATATGTGGAAGGATGAGGTGGAAAGAGGGGAACTGGAGGAAGGCAGTTTTTTCCTATTTAATTTTGTACCATATGGGATCATGGATGTTCACTAAACTTACTGTGATAATCATTTCATGACGTATGTAATCAAATCATTACGCTGTACATCTTAAACTTATACAGTGCTATATGTCAGTTATATCTCAATAAAAGTCAAACAAAAAACCCAGTTATGTGGAAGAGGAGCAGCAACCCTTCTAGTAATTTTATTCCTTGGAAACAGAGGTAGACAGATTGCCTGCTGTATCTTCTATTAAAGAGGATCACACTTTTGTTATTTTTGTTTTTTTTTTTGTTTTTCCACAGTGCACTTTGATTTGGAGAATTGGTGCCAGTCGGCAGTAGATCATTCATCTTAGACTGCAGTGCAGAAAAAAAAAAAAAGGGCAGGGAGGGGATACACAATAACATGTAAAAATCTGCTTTTAAAAAGTGCAAAAATAAACAGATACAAAGGAATATTTTTCTTGACAACATGAGGCAGGGATTAATGTTTCACCTGTAAGGTGCAATCTGAGGGCACTGACAGGGAAAGGAAAAGAAGTTTCAGTTAGCAAGTAACATAAGGGGATATAGTATCTGTGCTGGCTACTGCTTCTTGGTGGGTCTCAAAGAGACACAGCTCATCACCATGTAACAGCGCTGGCACAGACTACACCACACAGGACAAACTTAAGAAATTGCCTCAGAGCCGTTTGTGGAGAAAGGAGAGGAAGTTCTCCTACCTCTCACCTTTTCTTTTTTTTTTTTTTTTTTTTTTTTTAGAGGTTTTAGGATTTTAACGTTCTTCACATTCAACGTAAAATACTGACAATGGATAAACAATAGGGGAGAAGACTCTTCCGCAAAGACCTTCCAGAACTCACAGCATCACTCCGGTCAGACCAACAGTCAAGTGAACAAAGGATAAGGGAGTTTAACAGAGAATTTTAGTTCAATAGCATAACTAACAGATAAACATGTAACTTTATATATTAAACATACTGCTTTTGGCTTCCTAGTCAACACATCTTGAGTTTCTGCTCTTATTAATCATCCCTCACTTGCACTGCCCCAGGCTGAACCCTAGAGAGGTCTCTGAGGGACCTAGCTGGCACTTTCTACTACGTTCCTGCCAAATCTTTTATTACTATCAAAATGACTTCTACCGCTTTTGGTGTGATAAGCACCTATCATATACTCTTCTCTCTTACTCTATAGAGTATTTGAACTAAGTGAACAAGGTGGCCCTTTCCTTCTAATGAAGACTGTCCTTGAAGGTAGAAAGACTTCTAGGAAAAAAAGGAGGACATGATGTTTGAATGGGGAAAATGAAAGGATTTGAAGTGTGAGGTTTTGGTGACTGAAATAATTTCCTTCACAATTACAGGTCTAGGGTTAGGGGAGTGAAACGGGGAGAGATGTTGAGGGAGGATAGGAAATTCTTACGGGTTCTGGACAAAAAGTGAGGTGGCTAGAAAATTTTGATGTCATTGGACAGCTGGTGTTAACCTTTTCCCCCAATACCGTTGCTAGTGCCTACTGCTCAGCTAGCTGGCAAACAGGTGAACCACCCCACAGAACATCTGCATTTTTTTCCAATTGTGTTTGCACAATCACCTCAACTCAGCAGATTAGCTCCACATTTTAAATATACACAAATGTATAACTGCCTGGGCGTTAAGTATCTGGGCATTCCCTTCTTTTCTTCAGTCAGGCTTCTTCCGACTGGAAGTGCTGAGGCCTGGCTTGCGTAAATGTTCATCTATGTATACAAGCCCTGATGTCTTCATTTTTTCCATCTGCCAAGAGGAGCAGAGGGCAGTAGTTTAGGTCAACACACTGGGATTTTCCTAGTTTAACTGCAATTTTGCCTCAAGCAACATGCTTGTGAATCTATACACATACACACATCAGTTTCTGCTTTCTTAAACACATCTCACAGTACTGTTTTTCCTTACTATCAAGTTACTGGATTCTCCCCAAATACTTTTTGCTAACCACCACCTCTTTGGGGCTTACCACTGTTCTTGTACACCTCAGGAACTAAATACGTATTTGATGAGTTAGTGAAAAGATACAGAAACTTCTTACTACACGTAGCTGTAAACATTTAACTTAAAACTATTAATTGGAGGAATTTGTTAAACACACAGATTCCTGGCACCTCTCTACGTAGACTGTGACTCAGTTGAGCTGAGGTGGTCCATCTTAAACTGCAGTTAATTTTGAACATACTTCAGATAGTTTTGAGAAACACTGATAATGCTTCCCAAATAGCTAATTTACATCTAGTCATCAAGAGTCCTTTCCAAAAAATTTTTGATGGCATCTAACGTTTAAAAAATCTAACTTTATGAACAGAAAACTTTCCACTGGTCTAAAGAGAAAATTTTAAATACAGGCCTCTTTAGCAAGTCTTAAGCAAATCACAACTTACCATTTGTGGAACAGTAACCCCATTTTGAGTACTAACAAGGCATTTTGAGATAAAACCACTGAATATTGAAAAAATTTACTATGTTCATTTCCCTATAAGATTCAGTCTCTGTATTCCAGTGGTATCAGTTATCAGGAGTAACTACTTGATCACTCAATAGTTTATTATCAGTTTCATTATGCAAACGATTAAAAGTTGAATAGTACACAAAAATTTAAATTCCTTTTCATTCCTGAAAAAATTTTGGTGCAATCTGGTTTCCAACTTGTCTGTTGGCATTGTTAATAATTTTCAAATTTAGGCTAAAAACACTTTAAAGCTTCACACCAGCCTAGTCCTAGTTGCTTCTTATAAAATTGGCTCAACACTCCATTTAAGTCCATTTTAAGCTTGTTTTACTTCTGAGAATATTCTCAATGTAACTCAAATTTCCAGCCTATATTCAAACACCATTTACCAGTAACAGTGGGTAATGAAAAGGGCCTCTCCCCCTCCCAAGCTGTATACCCAACGTGCCAATGTCAAATATTCTCCAGTCTATTTTTTATTAGGTTCTTGGGTTCAAGGTCTCATTTTTTAAAGGCAAAAATGAGAATACTTTCTGCTAGTAGTTTATTAACATAACTGATTTTTGGAAGACGAGTGAAAGCTCTGAAAGCCAGTGTTCTCTACAGGGATGCTTTCTTTCAGCAGGCTTAACAATCTGACTAAAACATCATTACTGGTGTGAATTTTCTCTAGAGGAAGGGCTCATTTCAATCTGAGTAGGCTGTACTACCCTAAGCAACCCAAACTTAACCATACTTAAACTACTCAAGAGGGAAGGTAACACCCAAGAGTAATTCAGGCTAATTTCACCTTTGGGGAAGCCTTATCACAGGTATTTTAAGTGACGCTGTGGTACCATTTATTTCATTTATCAAGAGAACACTCAATTCCCCTCCCCAAAACTAAAAAAGGTTATCACTGAAGTTTGTCACTTTAAATGGCATATTTAAATGTACTACTCACATATATTTCAGATAAACTGTTTCTCATTTTTCTATCATACACAAATCTTGAAACTGCCCACTTCACATTCTATCATACACAAGTCTCTCTTCTAAACTTAAAGCAAAACTGCATCCATGAATCCCTGTCTATTTAATTGTTGGGTTGTTCCCATGCTTTCTGGGCAGTTGGAGGCTAACAGGTAGCATTTTAGGGTTTTATAAGCCAAAAATCAGGGGGAAAAAAAAACACTGTATGTAAATATTCTTACAACACAGTAGGGCTATTTTTAAGACAGAAACCTAAAAAAGTGTATCAAAGGTAAGAAGGACTTGTAGAATTGGAATGACTCAGCTCTTTATGCTGTTACCCTTTAAGAAATTAAGAGCCCAACTACTAGAATTTTAAATTTACCAATAGTACCAAATCTATTTAAAAATGCTAGAAAAACACTTCACACAAAAAATATATAATGTAAGATTACTGTATTTCCTTGTAAGAGGAACGTTTTAACAAATTTTACAGGTGTCAATCAACCCTTGTTCAAATTGGGCACACATCAAATCTAGCATTATAGGAGTTTTATTTATTTGGAAGTGAACTAACTATTAATACAAATGCCAAGATACTACAGAAAACATCCACAGGAATTTTTTTCATCTTTTTTGAATTGTTCACAAACATTTCCTACATAATCCAACATACAACATAGAAATGGTACATCTTTTTCTTTCAATTTGCATACAATGGAAAAACAAGAATATATATATATATATTTTACAAAGTTTAACTAATAAGACACTAGCAAGCTGACAGTTTAAGTCTATAGGTGAAATTATCTAATAAAAAATAATTCAGAATTTGTTTAGCATCAGTCACTTCCATAACCAAGTATTATTCTGATTAATACTTGCTGCTGTTTGGTATATACTTATACCACTACTCCACCTGTACTGCTTCCTCTTGGTTCTTCACAATTACTAACAGAAAACTGTTGCAAAGCAGGGGCAAGCATTTGTAAAAACAAACAAACAAACATACCCAGCTTATTGTAAGCATGAATGTGTGGTGGAATTTCCTCCCAAGTAATGGACTTTCAAACCATCAAGAAATCACCAGAACTGACTTTGTCAAGATATTTTGCCTATGTCCTAGAGGAGATGCACTTATTTATATCCAACAGAAGACTGAAAATCAAACTTAGTGTTTATAGTTTGGGGGCCGGTTAGGGGAATTCAGCCATTTGAAAAATGACCATCTTAAAAAAAAATGACCACCAAAAAATAGGTTCACTAAATTTATTTTAAAAATCATAAAACGTTTCTTACAAAAGAGCATTACATTCTGCACACTGCTCTGAATAGATGCCAGGGACATATGGACTATTGTTACTTTTCCTCCCTGTCCCCCACCCCCAAATGTTACAGTGACCACAAAGCAAAGTGTTCACAATAATTACATGGGGGGAATTTTTTTTTAACCACCAACAACGAACAAAAATTAAAATTCACTCACTCTGCTGCTGTTTCAAAATTTCAATGTTAGTTTTTGCACACCCTCCCCCACCCCCCAACCCTGTTTGAAAGGAACTAAAACATTACATCTGGTGAACAGCAAAGATTTCACTACACCTCAAATGCAGAACACCTATGAAGCAGAGGAATGTTGGCTTTTTAAACAGAAGCAGATAAAAAAAAAAAGATGCAGGACTCCTTCAGTTCTTCACTAGTCTTAGAAAAACTTTCCAGAATACTGCTTCACACTATAAAAAAGAAAAAATATCTTGCATTAGAATCCTTCAACATCTGCATACTGCTTCACACTATAAAAGAAAAGAAAAAAAAGTACGAATTAGAATTTGTTTGTAACATCTTAATCAACATTAAGACAATTTCAATGCTAAATTAAACCGATAAATATGTCCATTACACAATTAGAAATAAGAATTAAAACATTAGCAAATATGAAATAGAGCAATGTAAAACTCAAGAAAAAAGATTAATAGTAAATCAGACATTAGTAGAACAGAATTAAGAAAACCAAAAGTTGTTAATATTTGGTAGAAAAGACAAAGAAATGCCAGTTAAGGTGTGAAATGCTGCATTTTACTGCACCAATCATTTGTCCTGTAGAGGCATGGCCTGTGCCATATGGCAGACTGTGATTTGTTGTCGATTTAGTTATCTAAAAACAACAAAATCACTAGTCTTCCACACAGAACTAGACCAACATCCACTGAAATCTTCTATATTTTCTACAGGCTCTGTATAATTTATAACAAGTGGTTCTGGCAGCAGTTTTCACCAGAGAAATGAGAAGTTTGCTTGGTTAAGGCTTCTTCCAGCAAGATTAGTATTGAATGTCTTCGTTTTTAGTAAGAAAGAAGAAAACTGAAGCAAAGCTATTAGAATGTTTAGAAGTTAGGTCCCCAAAAGGTTGAGACACCATGGCTTCTAAAAGAAAAATTAGTTGAGAAGAAAAGCTTTTTAAAGTTTTAGTATGTGTAGGCTAACATAAAGCTAAACTCAAACTGACCTGTTCTGCAGCAAATACTGTGCATTCTGTATCTGGTCCTGTGTTCCTGTAATGGTAATGATCCGATCTTCGGACCCTTCTAAAGGCTCATCAATTTTGATCGAAGCTCCTGACTCATGACGGATTTGTTTAATCCGCTGACCACCTTTGCCAATAATAGATCCAGCCAACTGAAAAGATTTTTAGAGACAAGTGTTTATGACATACTTTCAAAAATATCTGTATTATCTTGTACTTTCAGTGACCATAAAGAGCATTAACTTTGTACAACTTACTGACTTTGCTTTATTAATGTCCCTCCAACTAGTGTAGATTTGGATTATAATGTATCTACAACACTAACCACCATTTCCTTTAATGAAGGAATCAAGGGCTCAGAACCCTTCTAACTGCTTTTAATAGTACTGAGTATCATTTGACAAGACTCAAACTGCAAAATGATATCTCACTGAAGTCCTTAAAACACAATTTTAATCCTAAAATGGAATATTTTTGTTAAAACCTTTTACTTAAAGTCAGGGAACTTAAAATGACTCATCAAATACCCTTTGTAATATTAAAGATACTTACATCTTTGGGAATAGTTACTTGTGTAGTAATAATAGGTCCACCAAGATCACCATATGAGCCACGACCCCCTGCATAGGAATAATCTGATTTAAATAATGAGCATTAAGTTCATTTAGAAAGCATGAAATAATGTTTGATTTCACAAAGGAGAAAACTTACCATATCCAGAGCCACCCTAAAAAACAAAACAAAACAAAACAAAAAAACAGGAAAAAAAAGATTATTTTGCCTCAAAACTTCAGGTATTTTAACATTCCTATAACCCCTCAGTTTAGGATACCACAGCCTCCCATATCCTCCCTAGTAAATAAATTCCAGAAGACAATCCTTAGGGGAAGAAACCATACAGGTACACAGCATTCCAAGAAACAAAAACGTTACATATGGGTAAATAAAACACTTAACTGATGAGTAAGCAAGCATCTTAAAACTGTTACTGACAAGAATGCAAACACCCATGATACTCAACCTGTGGTTCATAAGCCATCTGCCACTCTGATGGGCTCCATGTATCTATTGCAGAGTCCCAAGTTTCATCAGCGCTGAAACCAACCTGTGTTAAAAGAGTAAACTATTAACATGAACCTGTCTCTATTCATCAAGGACACTATATTTATGACCAATTTCTATTTCATATCTTTATAAAATACATAAATTGGCAAAACCCACAAATCTGGGAGGAAACAAAGATGGATTAATAGCCTTAATATTCCAGCAAAAAAAAAAAAATAACAAGTAGCTACCTAAAAAAAAAAAAAAGTCTGCTTGTGAAACTCTTCAGTAATAGTATCTTCAACAAAAAATGTTAACTACCTGACTTTAAGACCCCTTTTAGCTCTCATACATATGATGTATTTGACATATCAAAGGTCTTACCATGCCATCATAACGGTCTCCAGGTCTTCCTCTTCTGTCATAGGCCATCAGATCTCTGCAAGCAAGCATAACACTCACTTGTAATCTCAGCTTGTTTACATGTCACATACATCAAACAAAAAAAAAATGTACCCCCTTCACCTGTAAAGTACAGCTTTATGTATGTTAATAATGTGAGTGAAAGAAACTTACCCTCCTCTAGGTGGTGGTGGTGGAGGAAGAGGAAGATTCCGAGCTCTGCTACCACCCCGGCCACCTCGTCCAGGAGGAGGTGGAGGAGGTCCTCGACGAGGGCTCATATCATCATAATCTCTTCTAGATGGAGGCATGGGACGCCCACCCCGACCAGGAGGCATTCTGTCAAAGCCACCTCTTCCTCGCATGGGAAATCCCACTGGACGTCCACGGCGGTCATCAAACATCATTGTAAAACCACCATAATCGTAAGTTTCATCATAAAAATTGGGATCATAAGGCTGAGCACGTCCTTTGATAGGAGACTGAAACAAAAATACAGCAAGATTATAGATTAAAAAAGAGCCTTGGTTCATATTAACCTTCTTGTTAACAAAACATTTCACATCCTTTTATTTCTGAGGTACTTGACACCAGGATAGGAATAGGCAAATATAATAGGAAGAATTTTAAAAATGTACTATTTTTGGTGAGCCCCAAACAAAAAAGTTGAGTCTTAGTGCTTGTGAGGTTAAGATTAATAGCTTGATTTTACCCTTAGATCTTAAGAGATCACAAAACCTCTTTCACATTTCACAATGGGGAATTACGAAGCTCTGACCACCCTGAGGGGATCAGTATCCTGGATAAGCCTGTAACCTATAGTGAGGCACAGTACTTGGGAAGCTGTGCAATGTAGCACTATAGAACCATAGAAACTTCGTTTCAAGGACCAAAAGCTATTAAAATTATCTCACCTAACATTAAAAAAAATCCACTCTCCAGATTCTCCTCTAGTATTTTTAATTTAAAGTGATAACAAAAGCATAGTGATAGAAAACTGTTAGGGAAAGGATAAACAAAATCTATTTGCCTCAATGTTTTGAGACTACTCTTGAATAAAACATGTTTTATGAAATTAAATATAAATGAAGTGTTCTGAAGGTACCTCTGATATAAGATCAAGGATGATCTTTATGCACTCTACAACCCTATCAGGTTTTCCTCCAATAAGAACAACTCTGTCAGTGGACTGAGGACAGCATTCCTGGAAAAGCTTGATTGTTGTCTGAGTGTTCTGTAATAAGTTCACAAAAGCAGCATTAATCAATCAGAAAAAAACAAATGCACCGAAAAACCCAGGGTTCAGGTAAATTAACATTTATGTTTCAGTAATTCCCCTCACAAAAAACCTTCTTAAGTAAGGGATAGGACTTTGCAATGACACAAAAATTTTGACAAAATAACTTCTCTAGCGTGGCCAGGTTTTTTGGGTTATATTTCAATTAGCAATCTAGTTAAATATGGAAGTGATGAGGAATCTTAGGGGAAGAAACTCAAAAGGGGGAGGGAGTGAGAAGCCCACCAAACCAAATCTATACAGGAAAACTATTTTCCAGTAACACAGCAGAAAACAAAACAATGCTTTTTACCTCTCGAAGTTCTTTGATTTTAGCACCTTTGACCCCAATAATTCCTCCTGCCAGACTCTGATGAATCAACAGTCTCAACTCGCAGTCAAAGTCGCTTCCTTTATAGTGTTGGTACTGCAGAGGGAGAATTACAAAACTTTAGACTCAAATCAAGATACCCCAAGAATACACACTTATCTGCTATAAGCATAACAATATACTGTTGCAGTGAGCAACCTGAATTTATATTTCAATAACTTTACCAGTTATGTGCTTATTATCCTCAATAGCCAGGCCCAAAAAGGACATTCTGCACCACCTTAAAAAACTATTTTATTTTCAGGTCCTGCAACACCATACCCACACTGCAGCCATTTAGCATGTCGCTGTTACCACAAAATTATTATTAACATTCAAATAACACCATAATAAAAATGACTGCAAAGCACTTTGCAAATGTAGTTAATTCCCACTGCAGCATGGAGCAGGGTCAACAGTGAGTTGTAAGACCATTAATTTATCATGTTTTTAAGCCTTTTTCTATAGAGATGGGAAAAGTACACTATGTTGAAAATAAAATTGATCCTATGGGCCAGGCTCCATACTTCAGTGGGGTTCAATGGCACTATGACATACATTTAAGCATTCCACAGCATCAGATTCGAGCGGGAGCTGGCTGGTTGCAGTGGGTGATGGCAACTGCAGGCCCTGAAAGTAGAAAAATAAGAGTAATAGGTTAAGTGTCTAGTGTGATCAGGCTATTGTCGCATATATTGGTAAAGCTACTACAACATAATTCACAACTGTCATTAAGTAACAAACTGCTTATCTAGGCTAAAAATCAATGTACAAGGCTTTTCTCTATACATCTAGTAAACAATGGCATAGAATTGAAAAATTCTCAAACTAGATTCATCCTTTCCAACACAGTCCCAGTCAATATTCTAACTTAAAACCTCCTCCAAAACTAAAGCCCATAAAATATACCCTAAACCCATGAGAATGCATGACCACAGGTAGTTCCTATCTACTCCAGAGTGGCCAGACTACATTTTTTAAAACAAATAATATAGGTACAATATATTCCTGAACATTACACAGCAAAGGATTAAGACATTGCTGCTACAAAACTATTATACCCGTTGTCTCCCCATCTCTCCCATTATGCCCCTTTAAAACATCCTTAAGCACCCCCCAATTGCCAAATACATTAAAAAAATGAGCCTACCTCTTCCAAGGTAGGGATGATTTTCTTCAGAATTTCTCCAATTGTTTCAATATCAGCACTGATACTCAATATGCTGTCAAACATCACAAATACCAGATAGTACAAAAAAGGTGGAAAAGAAAAATGAGTTTTGTGTTCATCATCAGTAGTCATACAAACTTCTACAGAGAAGTAACATACAATTATTTAATAGTCCCCATTTAAAGTAGCCTATTTATACATTGTTCACATGCATTTTGTTTTATGCCCAATACAAACATGGTAACAATATTAGGAGACTTGCAGAGAGACAGAGAGAATGGGCTCTTGGAAGGGCTCAGATTAAGTGGGCAATAAATTGACCAGAACTGAAGCAGAGTTGAATATTTCTGTTCCCCGCCACCACTAAGTTAATTAAGGATACCCTCGCTGTTACATTGGTAAAACTGGCACACCTTCTCTTAGGCAAAGTGGGGAATATGCAAGTGGTGAACATTGTATTTGGAGTAAGGTTATGGATACCAGTTAGAAATTAGATCACTAATGGGCTCTGCAAGAAAACAAATACAAATGCGAGACAAAACAAAGACAACACAAATGAGAAGTGAAGGAAAGTGAACCAGAGTTAGCATTTCATCAGAAAAAATTATGAACAGGCAATGTTGGGAAGCAAGGTGGGCCACAAAGACAGAGCGAGAGACTATTTCGGTAACAATTTGATTTACAATGCAGCAAATATGCAACACTTGAAGCTGTGCTCCTTCCATCGAAATAAAATTAGTGGATCGTTTGGGTGGGCAACTCACGGTAAAAGTTCAGTGACAAAAAGACTTAATGGGGAAAATAAGACAGAAACTTGAAAAACAATACACCGTCTAAAGGGGATACTATTTAATTATATAAAAGGCAGGTAATAAAATACATTTCTCTCTTTCTATTCAGGCAGTGAGGCATAAACTGTTGGGACATACCGCTCGGGGCCACTGCTGTCTGGGACTGAAACACTGGCATTGTACTGCATTGGTCATTGGCGTTCGTGGATGTTGGCATTGGGCATGGGCATTCAATCAGAAGTTGTCAAGTATGGTACCCGTTTGGCAACGAGCACATTTTTGGGCATAGCCAACCAGGGTTTTCACATGGGCGTTCAGGGGCGGATGGGCCAACGTCATGGTGGGCAACGCAGGGGTAAGTCGATCCAGTACATGGGCAACGGAGATATATGGCCAAAAAAACAAGGAGAGGGAAAAGGGGGAAAAGCAATAAATTTTAATTTAATACAAACTATACTCATACTCTCAATTAATGAAACAAGCTTAAGTTGTTCTGAAGACTAACACAATAATGGACTTCTCTATATCTGACTGTGGCTTAACATTTAAGGACCTTTAATGATGGTAACTAGTTTTTTTTTTAAAAAACAAACGATGTTTCAGTAGCAGGCTGGCTCATGAGGGTAGACACAAAACCTGTCATGACTCAAATTCTTGAGGAAAATGGGGAAATTAATAACCCAGATAATTATATAGAACATCTGGATTAAGAGGAAAGAGGTTTATAAAAGACAAAACAAAAATTCCCACACCACCAAAAACCCTAGCTCTTAAAAGACTAGTTATTTTGGTTTCCTGGAAGTTTAAAACGCACTCCTAGATGCTAACAGGTAAGTTTGTAAAATTTAAACAAATTTTCAAGTTCAGTTTACAGTAAAATCAAGAGGAACATACAGAGATCTGCGACCAAGAGAGAAATGAAATACTATCAAATCAGTATTCAACACAAAGCTATCATTTGCCTCAACTTTAGCAAGAAAACATCAAGAGTGTGTACATGAGAAAAAAAATTTAGGAATTGTGGTGTAACCAAGTCCTACAAATAAACTCACTTCTGGTGATACTAACATTTACTGTGTCTAATCACAAGAGTCAACCCACTATAAAATATGAAGACTCAAACAAATCATTAGCATTGACAAACTGTTTCCCAGTTATAAAATGCCTACTCTATTTTTTATCTGTATTTAAACCATGCAACCTCAATTTCTTTGTACTCCATGTGTAAGCTGTTAAAGAATAGATGGACAAATTGAAAAAAAATTAAGAGAAATAAAAATTTCGGAGCTTAATCAGCCACCTGCAATGGTTTTCAGTAATACTGTATTTGATTCACACATGGGAAATGATGCAATTAAGGGTTTTTTTATACCATTTGTTATTTCTAATTAAGATGTTATCTTGCTTTTAAGTGAATAATTTGGTGGAAAGTTAATTAGAAAGTGAAGAGAGGTTTAATACAGACACCCCTCCCCCAATTGAACTGTCTGGGCTTTGTTAAATCAGGAATGGCAAATCATCTATGTAATCAATTATTATAAAAGGCTTGTATCTAGACTATTAAATGATTTCTATGACGCTCATCTTTAAACTACAAACACATAAACTGAAGCTGCCTGTGTAGTAGTTTAAACTCTTTAATACTTACGTCTGTACGGAGAGCCTTAATATTCTTGCCTCCTTTCCCAATCACTGCCCCAGCATTCTGGAGAAAATAATGAGATAAGACACTTATTTTATCTTTTCCTAAAATTAAGTTTCCCTATGCTCATAAGCTTTAGCCAAAACCAATCAAACAAACCCCATACAACTGTAATCTCTTTTTTTGGGAGTAATAAGGCTGAAAATCTATTTAGGGATCTCATAACATCAGGTTAATAAAAATTAAGTTTATGTGCTTTGAGGACTAAACCCCAAGACAGCTTAGAACTACTCAGAATGCCAGAAATACACTCAGATAAAACTTAAGCACTGGATCTAATTTTACAGTACCTTTGTAAAGTAGTAACTTATATACTTGTTAGTAGGTACCTTCACATTATGAGATAGTCAGGTAAGCTGCCAACCAAAGAATCCACAATGTAATCAAGATATAACCTTTAATCCACTAATGCTTTAAGGATTACCCACACCCATCTCCTAGTTTGACCTGTGCAATGGCTAGGTTTAGGGTTTTTATTTTAATTGTTAGCGAAATAAGTCATCACGGCCTAGAAAGTCTGTTCAGAAAGAACCACAGAAATCTTTTAGATTCCGCAGCCTGTGTGTAGACCAAATCTGAAGGCTTCCCAGAGGGCCCAATCAGAACTTAATTCCTACTTGAGTAAGAACCAGTTTCAAAAATAAAATTTATACCTTGCTCTGAAGCAGAATGCGTAATTCAACCATCTCATCAGTGTTTCTAGATCTTTTAAAAGCTTGTTCCTCTTCCATATCTTCGGCAGGGCGTTTACCTAGAAATTAACAGTTCAGGTTTCAAAGGAAGCACCAGCATCTTCAAGAAAGGCACCTTTAACCACATTTAAAAGTAACTTCATTCTGTTTTAAGAGATTTGTTGCTAATTTTATGGACTTTAAATATAATTCAAAGCATGCTCCCTTCCAATAACGTTTTTCTAAAACACAAGATACTGTTACCAAACAGTTCCAAAGATTAGAATTTCAAAATACTAGAAAAAGATTTTTATATATACTGTCTTTTTTAAAATCAAGTTTACAGTTAATGATACAAATGAGTTAGTTCTAGTTCCTAAATAAAAGGCCAGGATGTAACTGACCGGGATCCCAAATTGAACAAATACCAAAATTAACAGTACAGAAAATGTATAAAGTTGTTAAAATGTCTTCTCACCAAATTCACCATTGGTTTCGGTGTTGGGAAAGGTTTCCTCTGGCTGTTCCGTTTCCATTTTCTCGTATTAAATGGACACACCAATCTGTTGAAAAATAGAAAGGCTAGTACGTTTGGCTTACTGGAAAATAATCTGTACATCTCACTAAATATTAAAAAAAAGGCAAGAAAGGACTCTGCTTCTAGAACATACCAGTTATTATATATCCTTGCAGAGCAGAACTCAAGTGTTCTGGGCGGGACCAACTGACACCCTAGTCCTGCAGTAGCCTATAAAAACCAACACAAATCAGTTTTGTTTTTTTCGGTTATTACTGAATACTAATGAACACCCATTTGAACACAACAAACAAAAGAGCTATTTTAAAAACTTGTTCCTTGGTTTTAGGGTCTTAAACTTCCAAATGACTGCCTTAAAACACAAAAACACAAACCACAAGGACCATAATTGATTTTTTTCGATAAAAGGACAAACACTAATTTTTAGCCATTGGATCAAATCCAATCACAGCAACTGGTTATTTTATATGATACATATACATAGAAGACCAGACATATGTGCGGCATTTAAGTCCAAGTTGCTCCCGAAAGTATAAATTTATGAAAAGGTAACAATGTTTATATTGGAATTTTAAATCGCTATGGGGTTTTCGTTTCTACTGGTGACTTGAAACAACATTCTCTTAACTCTTTACAGTTTACAGGTACAAAGGCAAATTCTAGGTATAGCCAACCGTCGGGTCTATCCACTGAAGGAATAAATCTGCAAACCTGATAGCGCAGCTCTAACTACCAGTACCACTCGACTCTCCAAAAGAGCCCTTGAACACCAATACTGTCACTAGCGGGGTATTTTAAATTACGTTAAAAAAAAAACCAGTATACCCTGACAGTTATACCTCCAATACCAGAGTGGTGATAGTCCTGCAAACAGCCTTTTAGCTCCCCCCACCTCGGGACTAGTAGGAGGCTACATGTGGTCCCTATAGAAAAAGAATAATAAATAGCTCAACAGCTTAACGCTAAAACTCATGCCAGTATTTATGCCTCCCACTCTTCCCTAATGTTTGTCGCTAAACCACTCTAATGACTAACTGAAACGCTAACCTTCTGGCACACTACTCAGTTAAATACTGAGGTGTGGTGGCAGATCCGGATAAAGTTTCAAGACAAATAGGCTGTTTCTAAGGATAACCAAATATTCTTCAGGTCCTTCCGGCACCATCTCTCGGGCCGCGAAAATCACGAAGTACGTACGCGACCAGCCCGGAGCCACATGCCCTCCTCTCCCCAACACCCCATACCGGGATCCGCCACAGCCGAGTATCTGGAGCTGAACAAGCTCCCGCGGCGAGAGCACCAGCGCCGCACCTCTCCTCACCCGGAGCCGACAGGAAATGGCGGCCCGCGTAATGGCGACTACGTGCTACTAGGCGGAGCCGAGTGCGGACCCCCTCCCCCACCCACCACGCGGTCCCGCGATCTCATCCCCCGCACCCTCCCCCACCGCGGGAGAGACAAAGCAACGGAGGCAGCCCGGCCGTCCCAGCTCGCCCGCTCCCGCTCCCGGCCGGGGGAGCCCGAGTGCAGCGGGACCCACACAAAGAGAACGGCAGCGTGGTCCACCGCTCTCGGGGCCAGCCCGCCGGCAACCCCCTTACTACACTAGAGGCCTAGCTCCCAATACTACAACTCGTCCTACCGGCAGAAGCCTCGCCACTTCCCGAAGCCTCTAGTACCACAAGGCGGACTGCGGATCTACGCTCAGGGAAATGGCGGAGGTGGGGGAGGGGAACCTCGGCAACGTTCCCTCCCAGAATCGGCCAACCCCCAAGCAGCCCCCAAACGCCTCCCTCAGGCGGAGAAACAGGCCTCGAGCCCTCGCCCCCACGCGCCGTCCGCCCAGCCCCACTCCTCACCGGGCGAAGCTACAGCCCCTATGCCGACGCGCCGCCTCAGCCGGTCACAGCTAGACAGAGAACGAGCGCAGGCCCCCGCCACCGTCCCCCGCCTCCCCGCGCTCGCCTACCCCGCCGCCGTGCCCGATTGGCTGCCCCGGCTTTAGCGGTGGCGCGAGGGCGAAGCGATTGGCCCAAGGCAGCATCAATCAAGGCGCCGGAGGAGGGGACGGCCCCGCCCCCCACCGGCGCCTCCCTTCAGGCTGTAAGGCCGCGAAGGGCCCGAGAAACCCTGGCTTGGAAAAAGTCAACGGAGCCTTTAGGGAGGCCAAACCCCTATCCGAACCCATACTACTCAAGCCCCAATAACCCTAATTACCTATAGGCCACAAACCAGCGGGACGTAGGCAAGACGTCGAGGTTGGTGCAGCAGAGAAACAGAGGATAATGGCGTCCGCAGTGCTTTCGCCTGGAGCGCCCTCCTCCTTTCTCGTTCGCGCACTCACTAGCGGGGGGGAGGGAGGGGAAACCTCTCGCGAGAACTGAAAGCTGTCTCGTTCACGCGCACAAGGAGGGGGCGGGGAAGGGGCGTCCTCAGGGCCCGGAGGAGTTTTCTGGATTTGGAGGAAGGGCGTGAGCGCGCGGCAAATCGGGCGGGAAGGAGCGAAACGAGTTAGGGCGCCCGCCGTGGCGGTTCCTGGTCTCACAGTCGCGCCGCCCGAGAACCGCTGTTGCGCGAGGGGAAGGCGGGACGCCCAGGTCGGTGCTAGGCCCAGACGAATGCCCCGTTTCCACAGTCCACATTCGCTTCTCTCCCTCCCCGGTGCCCATCTCCCGCTCGGGCTGCGGGGTGAGCTGCGCGGCGGTAAGTGCAGCCCGCCCGCCGGCCCGGCCCATGCCGAGGTAACCCGCTGTCTGTAACTGGCCGCAGAGCCCGTCAGGTGTGGCGGGGCCGGTCGCGCTGGCGGCTCGGGCGGGATTACGGGGAATGCGGGCCCGCCAGCCGGGTTGTGGCGGGCAAGCCTTGGAGTCCTGGAGAACTTGTCCCCTTTGCTTCCGACCCTGGGCCTGCACGCCAGGGGAGAACCTGGGGTCTTTACAGGGCACTCGGTTCTAACGTCTTTTATCCTTTTTTTTTTCTTTCTTTCTTCTTTTTTTGGTTAATGGGGTCTGTGATACAAGTATTTTGTGGTACCTTCGCTGCAGTTGTGTGTGAAAATTTTCTGGAAAGTATTGCGTTCATATCCTACAGTGAATGCAAATCGCAAAATGCCTTGTAGACATCCGCTTTCGGTTCATTCAGCTCTATAAAGTACCCACCGTGTGATAGGGTTTCTGTTATTGATTAAAACAGACCAAAACTCTCGGCCTCAGATACGCTACCGTTCTAGTGTATTGTGTTCGGTTATTTCTAAGGCCCCTTTTGTTAAGGCACTTAAGGTCACTGAATCCGTGGGGAAATTGCCCGGCCTGGTAGTGCCCAGTATCCACATCGTCACTCTTAACCCTCTACCCTTCTCTCACAACCCCAAACTTGTGTTGAAGCAAAAAAATGTTATAATTTACACATGAAGCTAAATCTAAATCCACCGTTAGAATACACTTTTTTTTTTGTAACGAGGAATTTCTGCTGATTCATTCCATAGTAACTTGATTTCCCTCTTGAATAGTTTGCAAATTAGATATAACTAGCGTCTTTTAAAAATGGCTATGATTGTGGCTATCTGTTACCTTTTACTCGCTGAATTAGGAAGACTTTTTGAGGGGCAACTGAGGACCTCATGCAGTACCAACATTTATTTACTGGCTGGGAAGATAGTTAATATATACTGTAAGAGCATAGTGTCTGTGATTGTGGAATTTATTTATAAAAAGGCTCTTTGAGTGGAAGTCCAATTTTTTAAATGGCCGCCACCATGAAGAATACCATAGTCTTGTTCTGAGGTAAAACTTGCTTTTGGTTTTTGATACATAGTTCAGATTTTTATTTAATGTTCAACCAAGAATTGATTTAGTGTACGAAGAGGCTGGGGATACTTAATCATTTATGGTATTATAGAGATTTAACCTGCCAGTCAGGATTTGCAACATTTAATTGAACATGTCATTTAAAACCTGTCATTTCACTAACACAAATAGGCACATGTAGGGGTACTGTACTAATGATGCTTTCTTTCGAGCTAGTATTTCTGTTGCAGTCATCATTTTCTGCCTTGATAAACAGTGATGAGTGACGAGCAGGAATGCAATTAGCAGCTCTAAGAACTTCTTCCCAATTTCACTGTCATCTGACTGGACCCTAACTGGTAAAAGTGGTTATTCTCCTTTTCTGGATGCCGTTGTCAGATTTTTTTTCTCTCGCTCTTTTTTTTTTTTTTACCTTTTCCTACTTGCTTCTTTCTTTACCTCTTTCAGTCTACTTTTTAGATTTCTCTTTAAATAACAGGGAAGTCTGTCTTTTCACCATCTTTTCCTCCTCTATTTTCAACCAAACTGTATTACACCTGTGCTCATTTAAGGACTTGCCGACTTGAGGAAAGTCCGTCTTTTCACCATCCTTTCATCTGTTGTTTTCAGCCAAACTGTTATATCTGTGCTCATTCAAGGACTTGCCAATTTGATTAATAGATTCAGTGGCTCCTGTCTTCTGTAATTAATTTTATGATTATTTGGACTTTCAGTAAATTTAGAGTTAGTATTACTTAGATACAGGATTTACTTTAGCTAAACTAATATAATTGAGATTGTACACTCGCCAGGTGGATGATTATTTAAAATTTTATAACTACCATTTTCTGGGTTCCCCGTTATGTTCCCCACTTGTGCTGGCAGTTTAATGCTAATTACAGTCCTGTGAGTAAATTGTGGTTATCTTTGTTTTACAGATTAGAAAATTAAGACTAAGAGAAGTTAAGGAACATGTCTAATGTCACATAGCAGAGATGGGATTCAGACTCTTAAACCTATTCTCTCTTTTCCTTACATTAGGTTATGGAGGATCCACAAACAGCTCCACTCATTACTTCTTTCTGATTTCAATCATTAAATATAAATTTTTCTCCCTAATTTTCAGACAGTGCCTTCTCAAAATTCTGGAGTTACCCTGAAGTCGTCCCCAAGAAGTTACAACACAGGCTTACCTGTGTTTTTAAGATGGAGACAGTGGAAACATGTTGTGGTTATAATTTAAATATTTGTTAGTGCTTTTAAGTCTTAGCTGTTGATTGAATGCCACATATGATGTCCAAATGGATGGTACTTCTGCCTCTTTTTCTGTCTTTTAAAAAATTAGAGTATGTGAGGCTGACTGAAAATTAACCTGTAAAGCAAATTTGCCTGTCTTTGTGGTGATAGAATTTTCCTACTCTATTTTCTTCCACTCTGTTCCTGCAGTCGAGATCTAGAATGTAGATTATTGTGGTCAGCCAAGTTTAACCTGCACAAAATGTCAATCAGTTTTCTAAAAAACATTTTTTCATGATTATAAAATTAATGGAGATTAAGATGTATGTTGTTTTATATCTGGCCTTTCTTCTTAACAAAATAAAATGTGAACATATTTTCATGTTATAATCCTTAAAAATGTTTTTTTAAAAAGCTCTATAACCTACTATTTCATGGATCCAATGTAATGTACTTAATTTTTTTCTCTGTTGTCGAACATTTAGATTGTTTCTGTTTCTTCCATAACTGTAAAAACACAGTGATGAACACTCTGGCACATAAATCTGTCCTCATTTCTGATTATTTTATTAAGATTAAAATTTAAAAATAAAAGAACGGATTATGTTGTAAACATTTTCTAATGTACAATTTAAACAATGTATATTTTTTTTTCTTGTTCAGTGATGTACTTGAGGATCAGGGGCTTCTTTGTGTATGAGCAGATGGGAAGTTGTACTGCTGTAGCTAACACTTCCCTTCTGAGTTGCTTCTACCTGCAATGAGACTGGTTACTCAATCTCTCAAGAAAGAATTACTAAATTAAAGGAAAAAATTACTAAATTTTTAAGGGGCTCAGTTATTGAAACCCAGTCTAAACTTTATAACCCCACATAATAATACTTTTTCCATTTAATTAAAAAATTTAGTAAGCTTTTCTTTTTAATCTGTAGAAAAAATCCTATTATACATAGAATCATCTTTTTATTAAAATTGTTATAACATCCAATTATGGGGACTAAACCATGTTTCAGATCAGTTTGCCCTCCATTTTACTTTGTTGTTAAATGAAGAATTCTATGTAGCAAATGTGCATTTAGTCATGATAACATTATTATAAAATCATAGTACATCAAGTTTCTCCAAAAGTGGAGATTCCAATCCTGGAGGGTAGTATTTGGAGAGAATTATTAACACTGACACATATTAATAGAACAATTTCACTGTAGTTTATTGAGCACTGTTTCTCAGAATTTGTCCCAACTATCATCTGCAAAGAGTTTTGTTCCTTTCCTGTTCAACAACACAAACAAGGAAGTACGTGTTAAATAAGTACATTTTAATTAATAAAATAAACACATAAGCCTTAAAATACCAGTTTGTAATATTTAAAAAATGTAAAAATTATTTTGTGAAGTTATTTTAATGGAGTTACAGTGAAAGGAAAAGTTGTACTTAACACTTGTTTTGAAGCTGTCACAAAGGTAGTTGCTTAGGTGACTTTGTAAATGAAATAATTTGGAATGCACTAGGTGAGCTTGTTATTTAAATGAGAGCTGAGAAATGTCTGTTCATTGTAATAGCCATGTAGTGCTCTTATAGAATGACCATTTATGCATGAGTTTTATATGTAAGTGGGTTTTGTATGTAAATAAGGGACTGGCTTTACTTTCTCTTTTCACTTAAGTCAACAGAATCTAGAAAAAAGGTATGGGAACAGAGATTAGTAGAATTTATGTTCTAGTTCTGGGTCTGCTGCTGGGTATGATGTTTTGGTCTTAATCTTCGTGCCTTTTTCATTGTCTCTCAAGTAGGTGACAATACCTGATTTTTCTATCATAAATTGCTGGTTTGAGGTTTAGATAATATTGCAGGTGTACAAGTATGTATTTTGAAAAGTTTAAAATCCTTCATATATGAGGTTTTCATTTTCAGCAAAACTTCAATTCTCTGTTTATACAGCTGTGTTTGCTGGGATGTAGGATTAACACCACTGAAATTCATCTTTTTTTCCATTTCATTTTCTATACAGCCTTGACCTTTTCAGTTCAGAATCAGTCAGTCTTTCTTCTCTTTTTTTTTTGGGGTCTGTTCTTCCTCCTAGAAATATTAACAGTATTAGCTCCGACTGTTTAACAGTTTCGGGTAGAAAATAGCATTTGTGTTAAATGGCTGCAGATAATAACTTAGGGGTGTATACTGTACCCTGAGTAATTTATAGTACAAAACATTCTGCAAACAACTTAATTGTGATTTTGGCGTTTATACTTGATAATTCATTTAGGTAATTATAACTCTACTGAAAGTACACTTTTCAGTTTACTTAATGACTGTCATCCCGTTACTACAACACCTCTGCCAATTATTACTAGGTCCATTTGTCAGCCCTGTGGTGTTTAAATTTTAGTGGAGCGAGTAAGGTAACTTATTATTGAATGAGCACACCTAAGAGCCTTAGATCTTGCTTAATTTTTAAGGTTAAAAGAACAACAGATGAGATAAAATAGCACTTTGGAGTCTTAGGTTATACAAGTACAGATCTCTCAGTCTTGAGAATAAGATGTCACTAAGCTTTGGCCTCATATCATGCTGGAGATTTTAACATACCTTATGTTGATTAATTTCATATTTTGATGTTATTTTGTTTTAGGTGTATCTTTTAAGAATACAGCGGAATTTGGTTTTTTCACTTTGAAAATGTTT